GGCGGGAGGAGCCGCTTCCACCCCGCCTGATACCGGGTGCCGCTCCTCGCGCTGTCCCACGGACCTTTTATTGGGGAGGGGTCCCAGGCCGCCTCCCCTCGACCTGCATCGACCCTGTCCCCCGGGGCTGGGATCTCGGAATGCCACCCTGCTGTAAATGCCCTGCGACGGGACCCTCCTGACCTGAAGATGCCAGGCTGGTGGGGAGTGGTGGGCCCAGAGGGTGTCGGTTCTGATCCAGCCCCGGGGAGGAGGCGCTGGCGGTCCGTTCCCTCAGCGGGTCAGAGGCTAGGGTAGGACAGAGGGTCTCAGTCCAGGTCCCAGGTGCCGACACACATAAGCCCCCTCGGCCAGTAGCTGGAGCAGCCCAGAGCGGGATCCAATATGGAAACTAAGCACCTCTCTGCTCACCTTCTCCCCCCAAATCAGCAAAGGGAAGGTGGCCATGGCTCTTGGAGAGGGGTCTAGTGGTTAGAGCAGGGGGGCGGGGAGCCGGGACTCCTGGGTTCTCTCCCCAGCTCTGGGAGGGGAATGGGGTCTAGTGGTTAGAGCAGGGGGGCTGGGCGCCAGGACTCCTGGGTTCTAATCTCCCATTCCCCCTCTCCCCCCAGTTCCTGCTTTCCCCAAGGGAACGAACGGCCCCCCTACCTTGGTGAACTGATGGACTCTGTACAAGCCCCAGGGCTCCTTGCCGGTGTCTGTCTCCGTTCTGTAGCACGTGCTGGAACACACGGTTCTGGCAAAGGGACAGGCCAGGCCATGAAATTAAATCCACTGCTCCAGCCCTCTCCGGAGGTGGGTGGGGGAAAGAAACCCCACAGCTGCCATGGGAGTGAGCATCATTAACCCCACTGGACAGAGTGGGGAAACCAAGGCACCGAAGTTCAGACTTTGCCCTGTTCGATTCCGAGCCAGGAACAGAACCCCAGGACTCCACAGGAGAGGGCTCGGGGCAGGCTGGGGAGTGAAGGAGGTTGGGAGTGCGGGGAGGGGGGGAGGTGCTGTGGGAGTCAGGATTCCTGGGTTCTATCCCCCCCCTTGTGAAATACAACAAGGATTTACTGTGCACACCATCCCCAAACCCCTGGCAAGGAATAAACGACACTGGAGGGACAGAGAAACCAAGTGGGCCGAGGGAGGAAGGGCGGGCGCGATTCTGGATGAGCCAGAGAGCCGCCAAGGTGGGTGAAATACGGGGCGTGTGCCCGGGATGGCGAGCACTGCAGGGGAGAAGGCTCTTGCACTGAGTGCGGTGGGATTGCACGGAGGGGCGGGGCCGGGAGGGGAGCAGAGAGACAGATCAGGAAGGAAGAAGCCGATTGTGAAAAACAAACCAAGTGGAGCAAGGGGGAAGGTTATTACCTGACTGGCATGTCCTCCAAATTCACGGCATGATCCATGAAGTAGCCTGGAAAAGGGGGGAGGATTTCAGTGAGGGGCGCAGAAGAGGCCGATGGGGTGGCCCCCTCCACGCTAAGCCCTTCTCCTGGGTCCAGCGGCAACAAGACCAAGGCCCTTGCGCTGCTGGACGGCTGGAGAAAGCAGGGAATAGACAGAGCCCCCTCTACCAGCGTTAGAGATTGCTTCCTGGGCTGGCTAGCGACCGTCCTGCTGGCTCAGCGGAGGAGATAAAACGTTCCCTGCAGGATCTAAAGCCAACGAGGGGGTTTTGGGGGAAGGATTAATGTAACCCCCCCCCCCCCTTGAAACCATGAACTCCCCCCACCACCACCATGGGGACCAGCACAGGCTGCTCACCCTGGCTCAGAGGCCCTGGCACACGATGCGCTCGGAACAGCACAAAGTGCCCGCCCTGACCTAGGGCAGAGGGTCATTCTGCTCCAGCCCAGAGACAGGCCCGGCTGGGTGCCCGGAGGTCTTTGAGACCTGCCAGCTGGAAGACAGGTGAGCGTTGGCGGTTCCTGGTTTGGGGTTTTTCCCCCCAGATCTGTTCTCCCCGGAGCACTTTTGTTCTGAATAAACAGGCCGCGACTGGCCACCGGCTAACCCTGCCGCCGGGCCGAGAGAACAGACCGGCGGGGGCTGAGCTGCTGGTGGAACCGTCGCAGCCGGAGAGTTAAGGCTCCGCCGGAGCTTGGGTCCAATTCCCAGCATGGGCAGAGGTACCCGACGCCGTAATACCCAGGCTGTTCACCCACGACTGGAGAAACCCCCCCCGGATTGGCGGAAGACACAAGCCTACGGCACGCTGGAGGAACCAGGCACAGAAATGGGACGGTGTTCGTCCGCCGGCCACTGTCTGACCGACCCGGCCTCGAGACGACTGAAGGCAGCATTGGCACGGCCGGGTGGACTGGCAGCGCCCACCCGCTATTCCCCCGGCTGCACCCGAGTGCTGAGAACCCGGCGGAGCTCGGAGACGCCCAGAAGAAAGCCACGCAGCGTGGGCACGGCCGCTCAGTGTCTGAGCGCTCTGTTGGAGACATACCCGCCCTCGCTCCGGTTGCGTGAGCGTGCGAAAAAGTGCGGCCGGAGCGGAGTCGGGGATAGTCTGAGGACGTGCCTGGGGTCTCGGAGGGGAGGGGCCACACCGCTATTCTTAGCCCGCTAGCTCCGTCAGAGCAGGGAACGACAGCTCCCAGCTCCAGGGCAGACGAACTCAAAGCCTCCCGCCGGGAGGAAGAGGATGGTGGGATCCTGCCCCCACGAAGGTGCCGGCTGGAGGCCTGAGATCTAAGTGGAGAGGCAGGTGCCGGCAGAGTTCCTAGCTCCCGGAGCGTTCGAGGAGCTCGGGAAAGAAGCTGCTTAATCCAGTTTCTAAGGGCCTGGCCTCAGAGCCGCCAAACTTACAACTGAAAAACAGATTTTCCCAGGCCTAGGTCTGGTCCCTTCTCTCTTTTGCTCAGTTTCCTTTTCCTGTTTACACACAGCCCCAGCGCGGGGCAGGGCGCACCGGGATTGCATCCCGGCTGCCAGCTCCTGCCGGTCCCTTAAAGGGGTAACATGCTCCGCCACCGGTGTGGGGTCGGAGGTGCAGCGAATGCAGGAACCGTAAACGATCAGACATCAGCCCAAGGGCCTGGCTCCCCCTGGGGCTCAGGGATGAGACCGACCTCATCTCACATTGACCCTTCCACCCCATCCCCACTAGTGCCGCTGAAATGCGGCCACCTCTGGGGCACAGCGCGTTTCAGTGTCGCAGCAGGAAGCGGAGGAAGGACACGGCCCGCCGGTTCCTGCCTCACCTGCGATGCCGACCTCGGAGGTGCCAGCCAGGCACAGGTCCTCGAAGCGGGACGGGTCGATGTTGTACACGGGGGACGGGACGGCGTTGGGCTGCATGCCACAGCCTTCCTGGAGGGCAGAGGTTGCAGAGCCCTGGTTATTTCCGTGGTGTCCAGCTCTCCGGCAGAGCACCCCAGCCCTGCAAGGGCCCCCCCAGTCCTGGGTGGCCACCCTACCGGCTTATCCAGAATCACGCCTGTCCTCCCTCCCTCCCAAATTCCAGGCTCTGAGAGGTGGCCGGCCACTCTGCACGGCCAATGGACCCACGGCCCTGCTACGAGTGGGAGAAATGGAGGGCAAGGGAGACTGCAAGGGGCCTGGAGCAGGGTGGGCAGACCCCCGGGGAGCACCAGTAACACGGGGAGGAGCAATGTATGACCCTGGGAATACAGGGCTTGGGGGAAGTCGGGCCAGCTGCCACTCTCAACGGAGAGCCGGGGGACGGGGTGGGTGCCCGGGAGCTGGGGGCAGAGAGGGACCTGGGAGCCGGCAGAGCTGGGGGCGGAATGGGCACCCGGGAATTGGCACTGCTGGGAACGCAGAGACAGGGGCCGGGAGCCAGCGTCACTGGGATCCCAGAGCTGGGGGCAGGCGGGATCGAGCTGTAACAGGAACACGGGGATAGAGGAGTCGGGGACCAGCGCTGGGAACACGGCGCCGAGTCAGCCGGCCTCTGGGAGACCCTACTGCCAAGGCCAGCAGAGAAGGGGGGAAATCAGAGATGTCCGTGTTCCTGGGCAGGGAGGGGCCGGGGCTCCGTCCCCAGGGCACTTACAAACACGGCTCCTCGCAGCAGGTCGGGAACAGCCATCGGAATGAAGCCCTAGGCGGGGAGAGAGAAAGGAGAAGATCCTACAGGCCAGCGCTCAGCAGCGGATCCAGGGCGACTGCCCCAGCCTGCCCTGCAGGGACCCCGGGGAGATTGGGCTCTGTGACCCCATTCAGCCTCTGCGGAGGCTGCCGACCAGGGGGTTGAATTCTGGGGGCGGTTTGGCGTTGCCGACGGCAGGAGCTGGCCTGAGACCGACCAAACGCGGGACACAGGGTCTATCCGAGGACGCCGGCGGGGCACGGAGCAGCCTCAAAATCCTATTAATGAACCCAATCCTTGACACCCCCTCAAACACGGGCTGGTCAGTGGCACAGTCTGGAACAGAACCTAGGAGTCTTGACGACGACTCCTCTCCCCTCCGCCCCCCGGCTGCTCTAACCACTGGACCCCACTCCCCTCCCAAGCCTGGAAATAGAACCCAGCAGTCCCGGCTCCTGGCCCCACCCTCCCCTTCCACGGCTGGGAGCAGAACCCAGGAGTCCTGGATCTCTGCTCTAACCACTAGATTCCCACCCTCCCCAAGCCCAGAAATAGAGCCCAGGAGCCCCTCCCAGCCCCCCCAGCTCTAAGCCCTAGACCCCACTCCCCTTCCAGAGCTGGGAACAGAAACCTGGAGTCCTGACTCCCAACCCCTACACATTCCAGCCACCAGTCCCCACTCCGCTCCCAAAGCTGGGGAGAGAGCCCAGACGCCTCGCACCCTGCTCCAACCACTAGACCGTGCTGCCCCCACGCCGCACGGCCGGAAGTACCTGTTTCACCAGCTTGCTGACGGTGAACTGGACGAGGGCGTGCTGGAGCATGGCTCCGGCCCCTCGGAGATAATAGGAGCGGTGGCCTGAGATATGAGAGAGGCGCCTGTATGGGGAGAGACAGGAAGAGAGACCATTTCAAGCCACTTCCACTGGGCAACATGCTCCCGGAAACATGGCGCAGCGGGCACAGCCCTAACCCGGAGCCCAGCTCTGCCGCTGACTCCCTGTGCGATCACGGCCAAGTCACTTAGTCTCTCCGGGCCTCAGTTTCCCCAGCTGTATAACAGCACTGCCCTACATCACAGGGCGGGTCGTGGGGAGCTTCAGATTGTCAGTCACCATTCCA